TTACATAATATGGCGGCTACCCATGCTTTGTGCCTCTTTTCATCTGCTCAGTCCTTGGTTTAGAGTGTAGACTAAAGGGCATTGTTTGTGCCTTAGAATATGGATCAGACAGCACCAAACAGCCAGTCTCCTTTGGATATTTGGACATTATTTATTTCTAACCTAACATTGCCTCTCTTCTTTTCTTTTCTTCTTTCTTTCTTTCTTTCTTTCTTTCTTTCTTTCTTTCTTTCTTCCTTTCTTTCTTTTTTTGGATCAAGTATCCTACTCCAAATTCAACAGTCTTCCCATAGGCGATCCTGGGAGACTATGGGATCAGAATGGAAGAACATTCTCTATTCTTTCCAGTTCAAGCACAGCATGGTTTCTCATGTGTCTGAATGTCTACTATGTGATTGTATAGGATGAACTTTGCACCCACACCCTCCCATAAACAGATCAATCATTCCCTGAGTGATAGGGCCATTCTCAACACCTTTTGGTACAGCATTCTGAAACAATATCAGCCTTCAAAGGATGTAAAAGAGTACTTTCACTTACACACACACACACACACACACACACACACACACGGGGAGGAGTGGGAATGAGAATCACAAGCAGATGAGTCCTCAGCCCTCACCTCTAGGTTTTTTTTTTTTGCATAGAATTTATCACAGTATCTAAACTTTAAACACGTTTATGTTTGAAATATGTCCACACTGGCATGCCTCTTGATAAAAAAAAATCTAGAATTCCAATTTTAAGATCTCTCTTGGTTCTATTCAACTTGGCTGTGGAATATATATATATATATATATATATATATATATATAGAGAGAGAGAGAGAGAGAGAGAGAGAGAGAGAAACCTTCGTATCATAGAAATCTGAACAACCGATGTAAAGCTCCATTGAAGGCAATGGTGGAAACTATTTTCCTAGCAAGCATCTATTTGAGGTAATGCTTGTCTGTACTTTCAACAGATCCTTTATTTGGTGGGGGCCCTGTCACTGTGTGAATCTGTGCAGGCTGAATTCACTATGCTGGAACCTTGTTTAGAATATCTTACCTGTGTTATCTTCCACATCGAATTCTAATAGATATCAAAGTTCAGAGGTGTCAAAATCCATGAAACTATCAATGCGCTGACTCAAAAAAATCTTATGGGAAGTTGTTAATAAACCATATTTGAGTTGTTGTTTAATTGCTTTATACTGCAAACCACACTTGTGTCTCAATAAAGAGCTGAGACATGAGAGAGTCCCTGTTGCTCCCACTACCAAAGGCAGCCAACTCAGATACCATTGCTGCTAGAACATTGCAAGCAAAGAGAAAACCTACCCCACTGTTTTGTTCTGATATAGTCCCTTGCAATTCCCATGTTGGTACCAGAAACCAAGGGAGTTTCCACGTTGTTTTTCGTGTACATTTACTTAGCTCCTAATTGTCCCTGAGGCAGAATTTCTTTCTGTGATTAGGTTACAGTTAATTCTAAGAATCTCAAATCACAGCACTATATATATGAAGAATGGCAAGATTTCCAATAAGGCTTTACTTGGGAATGTTCACAAATACTCATCAACACCCAAAATGTTTTCAGAGGAATTTTGAAATTTTATCTCCTTATGTGCTTTTCCTTTTTTCCCCCTTGAATTCTTGAATCTGTGCTTAGTTGGTTTTAATTTTTTAAAATGAGAACTAAAGCCTATCCACTCCAACATTTTCAAGTTCCTCATGTATAAAGTGATGTTTTAATTAAGGAATCAAGGTTCCCATTAATTTTTAAGATCAAATGTTGCTATCAGACAAAGCCATTCTCAAAGTGAGGCAAAGAAAACAACAATCTAATTTGCAGCCCCTTCAGATCACAAATCCCTTCTAGTGACATGCCTAAGAACAGTCAAATCCCCTCCATCTAACTACTTCCAGATGTTGAAAGTCTATAACTCTGTACAGATGCCCACTGCACTAGTTGGCAACTCATACTTCATCTTCTTTATATTTAATCACAACCCACTGAAAATTCTGCTTATTACTCCTGGTTTTGCTCTTGAGGACTGGGATAAATAACTCTTAGCCCTTCCTTAAGTAGGGTTTCTAAGTTTCATCTTAAAGTCAAAGTTTTGGCTATATTTTTAAGAACTTTACCAGGATTCCAAGGAAATGGAAATACAAAATAATACTATTGCATTTGCTCACACAGAACAAAGAGTAACAAAATCACATGATCCTGGTGAACTTTCAGGCCATTGCTGAGGTACCCTCAAGTCCAAACACATGCAACTTACAGACCTTCAACTGTTTAGGTTTGTGGTTTGATCTCTGTCTACCACTTCCTTGAAATTGTTTACCCCCGCATTCTTAGATAGCTATGTTCTTACTGAATCTGTATCACAGTGAGCGATAAATATTTTGAAAGAAATGTTGAAATACTTGCAAACATGATGGGTTTTTGAATATATTATTGGATGATCATGATTGAATGTATATATAATAAGTATTTCCTGGAGGAACACATCATTCAACATCCAAGTTTCTACTGTAAGCTATTTGCTTTAATACTTTATGATTGTTCTCTGTTTCCTCTTTGGGACCAGAATAATGCATTTCAATGTTCTGAGTGAGTGGATTGTCCAGTGTGGTATCCTTTGCTTATTTCTGTTTTTAGGTTTCTAATGAAACTGCATTAACAACTTTTCAAAGAAACCACAGATGACTCTGGAGAGTATAACCAATATATAATCCTGTTCCCTGGATGATTTTGAAAGCACATGTCACTTACACCCTTTCAAATGAAGGAACTATTCATGGTTGTGACCTCTCACGTGACTAGAACAAAAAATAAACTCAACCTCACAGACTGCTTCTAAGAATCAATGTGCCATAATTCTGTCAGATAGCTAAGGTCAGGAGGCATGTGCCTATCCCTCGGGTAACATGGGAACTTGACCCCGAGGGAAATTTCATGTTGATGTATATTTCGATCATAACATCTGGGGAAGATTTAGGCAGCTGTGAAACAAAGTGATAGACAGTAGTGCCGGCAATGTTTCACAGCCAGAAAGCTGGGGGACAGAAAACGAGCGCTGACAGGGGCACAGGAAGAGGACATGTTATCAGCTGAATGTGGAGTTCAGTGCTGAGAAGCACCGAGAGATTCAAAGGCAGTATGTTTGCAATGTGGGCAGAAGGGAGCTTATACTAAATACATATTACAGTGTGTTCAGAGAGCTAATTTAATACATGGTCTTTCTTTTCCTAACAGGAACATAATTTAGCTGCATAGAACAATTAGCAGTCTTAGTTGGTGGTTATGATGAGCCATTTTCACAAAGACCTATTTTTACTTTTAAAGAGCATAACTGAATAAAACACCATGCTGTGCTCAATGATTTAATTAGCTTCCCCTACTGGAAGACAAGCTGCTCCAACCCCTAGACCACACCCGAGTATCTATCCCCGTCCTGACAATAGCTTGCCCTAGTTAAATAACATTAGAAAGCTTATCGACTCAGCTTTAGAGGAGTGAGGGGGTCATAAAGAAAGAATTCTCCTTTGCTCCTCTGAGAGCCAAAAGTAGACAAGCCACAGGGCTAAAGTTGGTTTCATGCATCATGGGAGGCAACATATAAATAATCAGAAGACTCATTGGTCACGGACTTTATGACTCTGACAGTAGCCAATGCCAAGGGCAACTACAGTGATGTAGGGGTAGAAGTAAGCTCAGGGATGGAGGAAATAACAGCTAAATGAAAATTCTGTGTCATCACCTATGAGTGTTAACTATACACATAAAGATGATTGGCATGCTTTTAGAATGTCTTCTTGTCTAAACATATGCAATATGTGTGTATGGCATATATGCCCATATATGTATACAAATAAATACATTTCTACTTATGTATGGATGGATATGCATGTACATGTACAGCTATGCATGTATATGAGCAAGATATTTCTGACATAACCTATCATCAATCATATTTGCCCACACTGACGGTGTCTCTTGCTGGGGAGTGAGACACACCAGCAGAGGATGTCTTCACGCTGCACGTGACACTTTCCGTGGAGTTAGAACCTGTATAATTGCATGTGCTACTTCCATAACTAAAATCTGTGTTCATATCCGTGTCATATGATCAAAGGAAACTGCCACCCCTTGTTTTCTCAGACATGAATATTCTAGGAATTCTAGCAAATACATTTCAGAGACCCATTGGGCAAAGGAGTTCCTACCAGGTTCCAGGGGGAAGTAGTGCCCTTATTGAGCATCTTAAAACCCAGCCAAATCTGCCTGGGCAGTTTCTGGCAAGGCAGAAAGCAACATGACACAGGGGCCTTCCACCAGTTCTTACTAATTTCACTGCAGCTCAATTCTGCTTTAGAACTCCTATTGGGTTTCAATTATCACCTCCATGGAGGTGACCAGAAATCTCAAAGCAAAAATCCCCAGTCAAGCTGTTTAGTCTTCTGGGTTAATCCTCTCCTGGTCTCTGTCACGTCAGTGAATGTGGTAGGGGCAAGGACTGGGCTAATGTTTCATGGCCTGTGGAATACGGGGTTACAAAAATGATTACCTTTACAGCACTAGCTTCTGTCTTTTAATAACATTTCATTCTTCATCCTCCCACCAGCCTAACTTAAAGAGGAATTCCAAAGAGGACAGTTCTCCAAACCAAGGGACTGGATACAGGAGACTTGCTGGGTTGCCTGCTTCTTGCAACACAGCCCCAGCTCACTGCATAAACATTTTTTCCATAGGTACATACTTTTATGTCTGAGAAACTTTGTGGGGTCAGGATTGTATCATTTTCTTCTGTACCTCCTGTTGGCTCACTAAATGGGAGACTATATACTTAAGCAGAGGCAGGCACTCCTGGACCACATGGCTTTAGCTCTTTCTCATTCTCAGAACTACCACACACAACAAATAATTTTAAAAACAAAAACCCTACAGGAGGTAGACTTAATGATGAAATCATGAAATCTTGTGGCTTCTCTGCTCACATTGTTTTGAAACACCAAGTCTTAGAGGTGTTATTTTTCCAGAGATGGATCATACACATATGATGTAGAATCTATTTTTTTTCTCTTCTTGTGAGGGGAGGGGTGCAATTTCTACATGTACCAGGACCCTTACAGTAGTTAGTACTGCATCTTCTTTTGTGCCAGGGACTTATTCGTGCCTTCGTTGGAGTTATTGGGATTGGCCCTTAGCCACCTCTATCCTAAATTTTCTCGGGGCTGTTTTGAAGCATTCTCACAGAAATGTGAGATGGTGGTTAACGAAAATATAGTCCTGTATCTCAGCACTGGCCAGCTGGATAACCAACTGCTTGGCCAAATGTTTGACTCCATCTAGGAGCTGGAAGGTTCCAGTCCATTCTAGGGATTATATTTGTCATCACAATATTTCCTTGACAGCCCCAACAACTGAAAAACTTCTAACAGAAACCCAGTGACTTCAGCTCCTGGAAACAATCGAGTCCAGACCCCCTGCTTCCCCTCCCTGCAAAATCTAAGAGAAAATTGCAGTTCTGAGATGGATGCCTAAAAACACATTACTCTTAGCCAACCCTTTTTCCCCCGGCTAGAAATGATGCCAAGATTGGTCCTGAAATGACTATAGGGAGGCTCTGGTAATGAAGCCCCCACCCACTCAAAGCCTGCTTGGACTTAATATGGTACATTGTATCCATCTTTTCCAAATGATTATACGTGACTCTGGTAAACAAATTGTCCCCATTGGACTGTGAGATTAAAGGTCACATGCAGAAACATGGAGGAAACATTTTCCTGTGTTCAAGAGAAAAGAAAATGGAAGAAAGCAGAAGGAAAAGCCCTCAGATACATCACCTGTGTTTGTGACCCACACCTAACTCGAAGATTTTTGAGTAGAAAGCAATTTTCCCCCTCCTCTTCATTACCTGATCCCCCCCAGATCTATGGCATGAAGAGAAGTGACGATCTCATAAAGCCATTTCTGCCACAATGCTTTATACTAAGAAATTCGTGACAGGAAAAAAAATAAAAGTATGGAGCAGAGCTTAATAAACCCCCAAATACACGGAAAACAGGGCTATCAGACATGATCTCAGAACCTAAAAAGTCACGAGTGAAGTACAGACTAGGAAGGGCCAGATATCCTGAGAGTCTGACCATGGAACTGGTGAGATGAGGCTTTGTCCGTGGGTCAAGCCTTCCTTGACATCCTGAAAACTGAACTCTTAGAAAAACAAACCTGAACCCCTCTCACCACTGCATCCACGAGCCGGCAGTCATTAACCTGAGCCCAAAATGCCAAAGGCTGTTTTCCTATTGAAGTATATTGTTGCGACACACTTTGCTACTTTTATTTTTGCTATTTTTTTTCCAATTAGACTGCTTTCTATTATCACTTTACAAAGCTTAGGACTAAACATTTGAAGGCTCCATTTCCTATAACCAATGTCCTAGACAGGCCCAACCTTGTCCCTGAAACAGCACTTAGAATCGCATGGCTCTGTAAACTAGCTAGGGGCTTTCACCGACTCCTAGACACATCTCCCCTGCAGCAGAAGGCAGAGATGGCTACACATAGGCAGTACCGAGCTGTACAAACAGCCCAAGCTGAACCAGTCCTTCTGACCACCAACAGCCCAGCTGCCTGGGATGACCCCTGGGCAATCTCTCTGCAGTACTTCAAGCACAGACAGCTCCCATGTTGCTCCGCCATACCTCAGAGACAGAGCACACATGTTGACGTTACCACTGTGGCACCTCCCAGCTCCTGTGTGATGAAACCAGAGGGGGTAGGGGGCATGCAAAGCCACTAACTAGACTTGGTATATTTAGTCTGCAAATGGAAGTGGTTTTACAGATATGTTTCTGCAAGACATCCAGGAGGGTTTCAAAAGACCTTCAGACAACCTTGTGGTTGGAAGACTGAAAGTAAAGAGAAGAGATAGTATATTTTCTAAATCGATGGGTGATTACAGTAAGGTTATGTGGTACAAGGGAAAGATGAATGCAGAGAGGGAGGAGGGAGCAGTGCCATTTTATGTGAACATCCTCAGAATCTTTGAAATAAATTAGACAGGTGAACGCAGAAGTTCATGCTACTTGCTGGAAGCAATAAGGATCAAATTTTGTGGAACACGTACTCCACAAATCTCCAGGCGGCCTGCCTCCTTCTCAATGGGCTATCATGTCCTTGTTGTACATCCCGGTAGCCCTTAAACCTGGTAGTGTGGTCTCAGATAGATCCTTGCAGGAGAGAGGCCGATATGAATTCCATTAGCTTCTTCCAGAGGAGCTGCCCAGTAGCCGGGAGGGCATAGGTGATACGCTTGCTCGAGTTCTTTGTGCCTGTCACCCAGGGTCAAACTGCAGTTTCCAGGTCCTCATGGCCAATGATCTTAAAGTTCTGTCGGCTTTCTAGATAAGCAGCCAAATCTGGGTCCCCAGCTTGCTGTGCTCGTTCTTGGGGTGTCTTTCCCTATAGATAACGGAAGAAAAACAAATAGTTGGAGAGAGATGATACCCATAGGTCACAGACTTGGGCTAGCCAACGATGAGTCCCTCCAAGGAACCCTTCCATGTTGGATGCTTCAGAATTTATGAGACACTTCCAATCCATTTTCTTCTATAATCAGGGTCATATAAACATGTGTGGGTAAATTACAGGGCGATGACAGAATATGCATCTCAGTAAACAGGACGCCATAGACTCTCTGAGCCTGTGGGGAGAAACCATGTGCAGGGAATTTGAAAGCCAAGGAGACAGGGGAAGTACTGGATGAAACAGGGATTCTATTTCAGGATAATAATTCAGGGTTCCTTTTCACTAAACAATGGTGAACCAAGTAACAGAAGCCGAGAGGAAGAGCAGTAACTCACAAAACATCCGGGAGGGACTTCCTTGGCTTGTCTCAACACTCATTTTCCTAAGAGTTCACACATTCAGTCTGCACCTAACACTAAATTCCTAGTTTGAGGTTCCTGTACTACTTTTATACAACTCTAGTAAACCATCTTGCCTTTACTTTGATAATGATGAGGTTGACTTCCCCACCTCGTAAGTATTCAGAAAAATAGGGTGAAGTGAACCTTAGACTTCTTCCTATTAGGGGTTATATAAGTGTATTCAAAATATAAATAACTCTGATTTTTATGATCATACCCAGAAAACTAGAAATACAGACAAGCTTAAAAGAAAATCAAAAGTCACTTGAAATCCCCTCTCTTAGATCTAAATATGATTCAGTTTATTCTCTATTTCCATGTAGGTATGTCTGCTTGGTTCTCATTTTTAAAACCAGTTGGAGTCATACCAGGCATCCTACTTGAACATCATAACTTTTCACTCAAAATTATGCTCTAGAGATCTTACCACACAGTGATATATCTGCACCATTTCTGTTTTAGAATCAGTTAATCTGACCATTCTGTAACCTGGTGCTAGATTAAAGCTGAACGTACTTGTGAATGGAACTTCTCTCGAAATGTTTAGGATATAAGCAATATCCTAGGAGATCATTCTTAGCAGGAATTCACTACAAGTCCACTCAGGTTCACTTAATGTTCCTTCAAATTCACCAAGACTAAAATTTGAAACAAAGATAAAGTTAGTTCTTTCTTACTGTCTACTCAAAGTCCTTCAAAACTCCAAGTGCTTAACAGGACAGAAGGTTGACTCCTATGATTCTCTCTCTCTCTCTCTCTCTCTCTCTCTCTCTCTCTCTCTCTCTCTCTCTCTCTCTCTGTGTGTGTCTCTCTGTCTGTCTGTCTGCCTGCCTGCCTGCCTGCCTGCCTTGCTGTCTGTCTCTGTTCCTGTTCCTATTTCTGTCCTTGGTCCACTCCCCAGAGTGGACATGACCCCCACACTCCATTCATCAACTGCCTCTTGACAGGTCCTTGTGAACAGAACCTGCTGAGGATGGCACCAGATCCAGTTCTCCTAGACTCTTCCTGGTCCACTCCCTCCATCCATGGGAACTTTCTGATAAAGGTGGCTTATATGTTCTACTAACAACCTCTGGTCTCAAGACCATCTTAATATGCTTATATGCTCTGCAGATTTAGAACCTGACCTAAGAATGGAACCATGTGTCAAGCTTCATTGACATAAGTATCACTGTAAGGCAAAATACTGGGCTATTAAAATGATATAGGGCCGTGAACTCTGTTACTCTTTGTTGTCACACATTGTCCTACTGAGGCAGTAGGATATTCTGTCATCAAATGAGGAGGGCTTGCTAGCTCAGTACCATGCTACAAATCAACAGAGTTAATGGTGCAATAGCTATTCTTCCTCTGGCTTTCGGCTCGCACGCCCATCAAGCGTAGTGCTTTGCATGCTAATGTAAGAAAACACAAAGAAAGATTCAGACGAATTAACAGTGACTGGGGTTGGAAAGGTGGCTCGGCACTTAAGAGTACTTAGTACTCTTACAGAGGCCCCAGGTTCAATTCCCAGCACCCACATGGTGAATCACAACCATGTGTAACTTCAGTTCCAGGAAATCTGACACCTCTTTTGGCCTCAATAGACTCTAGAACTCATGGTGCATAGCCATGTACTCACACACATAAATATACATACAGGTACTTAAAATTAAATCGATAGATACAGAGTGATGTGGCTATACCACGGTTGCAGCTGTTGCCATCTCAAAGTGAGGTCCCCTCATCTGAGGAGTCAACCAGTAGGCAAGCACTTTGGCACCCATGTATGGAGCAATGCAAATCATAGATTTTTAAATTATATTAGATTTGGTGCTAAAGATGAACCCTAAAGATACTTCCTAGTAGCCAGACTAGGTCATTCACACCACCACATCCCCATCCTCTGGCTGTGGGTCTCACTTCCCCACTCTTTGCCTGCTGGTGTTTCATCAGGACGCCTCGAGTCCCCCGTCTTTCTTTAGCATGTATAGAGGTCTATAAAGTACCACAGGCAAATGCACACCCTCCTCCCTTTGTGCTTCTACATTTAAACTGCAGTTTCTCTAAATGAAGCACTCTATTTTTTCCTCCTTTTTCCAAAGCTCCCGGCCCTCCCATGAGCACAGAAAGGATGCCTGTGCTAAGGGCACAAGTGGAGGCCATCGTGCCTGCGATCTCTCACAGTGGGAGGATGCTTGCACTCACTCATCCTGTTACCTTGGAGTCTGTCTGTCTCAGAGATGCTCCCGCGTCCACCAGAAGCTGGCACACAGCCCGGTTCCGTTGGCAGGCAGCCTTGTGCAGTGCGGTCTCGCCCCTAAATCAAAGATTAAGAAACCAGGCAAGGGTTGGAGACAGATGAAGTGATGGAGAGGCAGCAGAAGAATGAGGGGCTTATCCTGCCCAGTTGCTGACACTGTGTACTCTTTAGCTTCCTTCGCTGTAAGTAGCTGAGGCCGAGGACAGCAGAACACATGCATGCTAGGGACGTGGCCTGGGGTGTCTACAGATACCTTGTTATTCATTAACAAACTGAAATCTAATTTTAGCTACTTTTCTAAACTGGGCGTGGCTTGGTGGTAATTTTTTTGATCACTGCTATTGGATTTACACACTCGAAGAGAATGAGTAAAATTGTCCAGATATATCCAAGCACTTGAGGCAGAGCATGGGTGTATTTTCATGGAGTTCACACGGTCCAGCCCTTCTGGCATGGTAGAAGTCATTCTGACCTTCATGAGTCTGTCCTGCCAGTTCAACTTTGAGGAGCCAGGTTGCCTTCTTCCCCTGCTAGTCAGTCAATGTTGGATTACATCTATCAAGTGAACGGCTGTCTGAGAGGCTGTAGTAGACTCCAGCAGAATTCACAGGACCAGATTCTCTCACATAGAGAATACGCCTGAGACCAGCCTCTCAGCATGCAGGGGAGGGGAGCAAGGAAAAGCAGACGGGCCCCCATCTGTCTGTGAGGTGTGCTAAGTGAAGGATATTGCCATTCTGAGTCCCCAGGTATAGAGATGCTTAATGCCAACATGTTTCATGGGAAATCAATTGTCAACCACAAAGAAGCCAAACCAGGATGAATGGCAGCCCCACTAACAACCATGCCAGCACAGCATCCCTGTGGACCAGCAGCTCACAGCTATGTCCTTTCTCACTTGCCCTCTATTCTACCTGTCCATTCTCACATCTACGCCCTGACTATCAGCTCATTCCTCTCTAAACCTGCTCAGTTATCTTTATCCTTTGTCTGACTTCTTTGAAACTTCCTCGTGGTCCCCATATGGCTTTCGGAGTTAAGGATTCATCTTTTTCTTACTCCTGTTAGTGAAAAAGTGGTTATTCACATGCCAAAAGAATGAGAATGATGGAGAAAACATTTTCAGTTTAGGGACCATCCCAGAGCTTATAACTGTTTGAGTAACCATGTTTCCAGTTCTCCAGGGGTGGCATGCCACTTGCTCATCACAGACTGGTTAACAGCACTCGTGCCATTGCACGCAGCAGATGTCTTCAGACATGGGTGCTTCATTTTCTCACAGATCCCAGATTTAAAAAAAAAAATCGCTGCATATGGTAGAGATAAAGATACATGTACTTATTTACTGTCAGCAGTCCAAGTACCAGTGTAAATGTCGCTTGCTGGTAGGGTGCCTAGAGGCAATGGCAGTGGTAGCATTGACTATGTAGGTAATCATCACAAGACAAAGTATTGGCTTCTGTTGTGTAGCTTTATGCAGCTGATTACCTTTGTACCACCGTGAACACGGTTTAAAGGGGGCTTCTAATCAGTGAAGTTAAAACTGCTATGCCTCCTGGACAAGCTATGCTTTGAGCCCAATTGTTTAGACTATAGAATGCAAGGCAACACTCACGTTTCACTGTCTGCCATATCCAACAATTCTGCAGGTCCTAAACGACAGCAAAGAGAAGAAAAAAGCAAGATGTTCAAAAATATATTGTTGACAGGTGAACAGAAAAGATGAATTTGGTGACAAGGTTAATAATAAGACCAAGTGAGGCTATGAGGATTCTCCATCACCACTTTTCCGCATGCCAGCAGTCAATATGCCTGATAGCTCAGTGGATGAGAACACCTGCTGTAAAAACAAAAGGACCTGAGTTCAAATCTCCAGCACTCAAATTTTTTATAAGGCTGGGCATGGTTCTGTGTGCCTGTAACCTCAGCACAGGTGGGCAGAGAAAAGGAGACCCCATGATGTCAATGGCCAGCCAGCCTAGCCAAGTTCAGTGAGAACCCTGTCTCAAGGAAACAGAAAGCTGTAGAAAAAGTCACCTGACATTGTCCTCTGATGTCCACAAAAGTGACTGCACCCACATGCATGTGTGGATCCACCAAGCACATGACAGACACAGACACATAAACACACACATTGAAAAATGATTATTTGGCCGGGCGATGGTGGCGCACGCCTTTAATCCCAGCTCTCGGGAGGCAGAGGCAGGCGGATCTCTGTGAGTTTGAGACCAGCCTGGTCGACAAGAGCTAGTTCCAGGACAGGCTCCAAAGCCACAGAGAAACCCTGTCTCGAAAAACCAAAAAAAAAAAAAAAAAAAAAAGAAAAAAGAAAAAAAGATTATTTCTCAGTGAAGTTGAAGAAATTAATTGGAATAGATTAACTGAAAAATAATTGTCTCAGTAGAGAGAAGGGGCCAAATGAATAGATTTTGGATCCTTTTCACTCTTCAGCTACAGGAAGGGGCTTTCTATAGTATAATGAGAAGAGTAAAGACACATACATCGTCTAAATGTCATATTTTGGAGATACTTTTTGAAATTTTTTCATTTTCAAAATGGAATAACTGCCTTGCAAACATGTCAGATGATTATAGATGCCCCATTGCAAGATACTTCTTCTAGGTGTTAGAATATAAATGTACAATGAGTTGGCCTTTCTTTTCCCTCAATGTCTGTTTACTAATTAATTCCCTTCTTCGACAAACACTGGGATCTTTGCTATTCTACCTCCTGACTACTACTTCCTTCCATGAATGCCCTCATCCTCTTAACTCTGAAGGTAGCAGACACATTTCTTCCACAGAGCTCCTTCTGAGCCAACACCACACCCTACCTATATGACACCTACCCTTATGTGTAGGTTCTGTTGTCTTTCTTAAGTACTATAAATTATCATCTAAACAGAAACTCTCCTAGCCCAGTGGACTTTGCTGATCACATTATTCAACACGACACTTGCCAGACTATTTTAACATCACCTGCTGAGTTGTTTTTATGTCCATTGAGACTCTAATAAACCTCTGGAAGTTTTGTCCTATACTTTTTTTCATCACTATTGTCCTCCTTGGTACTGATCACAGAATCTGGGCCCAGGCAACTGCTTAAATGTTTGAATGGATTGATAAATAAACCAGTTTGGAGTGCCAAACATGGTTCTAGTATGGAACAGTTCAGTCTTTAGAGACATAATCCGTGTGATTTGTGACCTATGTTGGTGGAGAGCATTATCACTGAAAGTTATTTATTACACATATAATGTAAAAAGAAATGAAGAGAGGTTACAAGTACAGATTTCTAACCATAGCTGCCATTGGCAAGGAGATGGTTGTGATTCTCTAGAATCTTTGCAACTCTCCTGGTCATCCAAAAGCTAAGTTGCCTTGAATCTTCATGTAGAATGCAGCCAGCATGCAGAAACCATTGCTAAAGAGACTGTTATATATCACTAAGTTCCCATACATCCCTTCTGCTACTGACTCTCAAGTGTTTATATGATGCTCATGGCCTTCCTCATGGAACCCCTTAAAGTGTTGATAAGGTTCTTACTCCTTAGTGTGTTGATAAGGCTCCACCTTCTTACCTAAGCTAAACTAGCAATGGCCTGTATCACTGCGTATTTCTCAGGCTTTCCCCCACTTTAAGGGCCTATCTCCCAAACTCCCCATCCATGATAGGCTTCCCTCTCCTGACCCTGTACCTAAAACTAAAATCTTCCTTAAAGCCCAACTATGGCAAGGTCTCCCAAAGAGACGTCTGACAAAAGAAATTTAACCCTATGATGCTTACTGGTTCCACCTTGTAGTATGTATTTCTTTTCAAATATATGTCTTACATTACTCTAAATCTCTGAAATGTAAGAATCATTTTATTCTTTCTACCTGCCTCTAAATTATATAAATATTATATCAATAATTGTATGGATCCATTAAGGATAACATTTATCCTCTGCCTTGAGTTTCCATGAGTCAATACAATCTAGAATATTTAACAGAGGTGCCTGGCACCCCATAAGGACTTCATCAAATGTAGAGTCACAACTGTAGTGCTTTGGGGACCACTACAGCTGGCCATATTAAGTCAAAACACTGCAATATCAGTGAAGGAAAGTGACATAAAGGGGCCACTAACTCCCACTTGAGATCCGTGCACTCCAGGCTTATTCAGTTTCTGATAGGTTCCGGAGTACCTGAAGTTTCCACCTAAAGAGACCCCGCTATCTTCAGAGAGCCTTTTCAGCCATTTATTTAGAGATAAGTTCCAGGAACACAGCAGTCCAGCTTCCCGCAGCAGCTGTATTGTCATCACTGCTCTTCTCTTCACAGTGACCAAGGCAACAAAGAGGTTCTGGCATCTTCTCCTTTCATCCTGGCTGACCTTCAAAACTGAGTGGAAGCCACAGTGAAGTCCTACGACTTGCTGGGTCTAAGGCTCTATGCTGGTAAGGATCCTTGAGGCATTTTGATTGGGCTAAGGCAGTAATAGTTCGATAATCAAAAGGGGAAGATAGGGGGGAAAAGGACTTTGTTCCTCATGGTGCTGACCAGAAGCACCACAGCCATAGCTCCAAGATATCCCACAATGATTACCCGGTCCAATTTGGGCACACCTCTAGCTACCCAGGGTTCCTCTGCAGCTGGCAGCTGGTGCCCGAGCTCTTTGATCACGTCTAAAGGGACTCCACTGCAGCCTTGGTGAACGATGCAATTAACCTAATGTCCCTGGTCCTCCATCAAATAGACAGTTGGATGATGAAAGAACATTCCAAACACTGGCGAGCGAACAGCCAGTGCAGAGGAGGGAAGGGCAGCAGCAGGATGGCTCCAGGTGGGAGTAGGGAGCTGTGTTGAAGAGTGCAGGCCCTGGGCTTGGGACTCCTTTCCTCCCACAAGGTTTCCTGGCCCAGCCTTGACATAAGGGTCTGTGCCTAGTTTTATTGTAATTCGTTATGCCATGTTCAGTGACCTTTTTTTTTGGGGGGGGAGGGTGGGGAAAGGGAGGAGGAGTGGATCTGGGGAGGCGGGAGGTGCGGGGTATGTGGAAGGAGTGGAGGAAGAAATGGTACTCAGGGTGTAATGTATGAGAGAAGAATAGGAAAAAATGAGTGCCGACACATTTCCTTGTCTCCTTTAGAACCAGCCCTTAAAGTAGTGGTTCTCAACCTGTGGGTCATGACCCCTTTGGGGATCCTACATCAGATATCCTGCCTATCAGATATTTACAGTACAATCCATAACAGTAGCAAAACTACAGTTATGAGTAGCAATGAAATGACTTTATGGTTCTGGATCACCATGACATGAGTGAGGAACTGTGTTAAAAGGTCTCCAAGGTGGAGAACCGCTGCCTTAACAAATTATGTTTGCACGGCCAAGGCACCAGGAGGGTAGATGGCAAACACATCTGAGTTCAGTCCATTGTTCCCTGCTGGCTTGTACTGCACTGGCCTGTGAGAAGCTATGCTTTAACACTGTGGACCTATGCAGTGATCTTGATGTACAACTTGGAAAATGGGTAGCCAAATAAATAAATAGAATTGATCAACAAAACCCACACTAACTTCGTTTGAAAAACAAAATGATTTTTTTAAAAAAATAGCACCTAATTTTTTGTTAATAAAGTACAGGAAGGAAGAAAGACAAAAAGTAAACAGAACTGTATTTTCCTAACGTGTCAACGGTTGAGAGCTGGACTTCGGATCTGTTTTGCGTATATGAATATCCCCGTTATGGATGCTCTCCCCTTTTCCCCATGGGACTTACAATAAGAACATTGAACTGTCAGCAGACAATTCACGCTTCTACCCCTAAGCAGGAGTGTACGGTGGTATGAATGAGAACGTCCCCCATCGTCTCAGGCATTTGACCTGCTCCCCAGTTGGTGGTGGTGTCTGGGGAGGTTTAGGTGGTACAGCTTCACCGGAGGAAGTCACTGAGGGCAGACTCTGAGATTTAAAAAGCCTTTGCCTCTTTGTTCCTCCTTTCTGCTTGCTGCTCGCAGTTGGAGATACAACCTCTCAGCTCCTTGGACCAGCCGACGTGCCTGCCTCGTGTACTGCACTTCACCTCTGTGATGACCTCCAATCTACAATCGTAAGCCCCCAAACTCTTTGCCTGGGTCAAGGTTTATATCACAGTAACAGAAAAATATTTAACACAGAATCCTCGCATCTCTATGGTTTTCTCTCTCACCCAGTTATCCTGCACCAGAAAATAAGTGTGAAGTCTTCATTGACGGACTAAGGTGCAAATTTCTCTATGAAATCTTTGCCTCTCTTCCAGGATCCTATGCATGCTGTCACTGGAACTCAACAGAGGACACTAGCATGGAGCTGCCATGTCATGTGGCTTCTTACCCATGTTCATATCCCCTTGAATACAGACGGCAGAAACTAAATAATACACATACATGAGTTTGGGAAAAAAACTCCACCTCACAGTGACTCAGTTTTAACTCCCTATCCAATGGAGATGGGAGAATTTACTGTGTAGATTTATAAAAATTTACCTTTAACAACAAATTTTATTGTTTCCTAAGAATAATAGATTTTAGCAACAATGGGTTACTATATTTTTTTCAGAGGTGTCTAGAACACAAATACCACTTTAAAAAAAAAAAAACGTTGAGGGTGCTTTAAAAACAATTTTGGATCCCA